AGCCAACAATAGCACTTACAGAGTGCCAGACTTTTCCACATTCTTTTCAGGCAACTCTTCTAATCCTCCCGACAACCCAATGAGGTCCTGTGACAGAGGAGGAAACTAAGGCACCGGGAGGTTAAGTAACAGGCCCAAGGTCACAGAAAAGTGGCAGGACCAGAATTCAAACCCAGACACCTGGCTCCAGACCCTCTGTTCTTAAGCCTTACACGTTTATAAGGTGTTCTGAAACAACCAAATAATACAGGGAGAAGGGAAGCTACAAATGGTCTCTGAATACAGAATTAGGAGTTTTAAATATCGCCAATGTGGGCCCACATTCTCCATTACAGGGAGGATTTTATTTTTCTGAAGCCCTCTGGAGCACACAAGGTTCTGGCGCCATCTGAAAAAGTGAGGAGTCATTTGGCAAACTGGGGAGGTTGTTCCAAGTAAAGTGCTCACTTATTTAAAGGTGGAACAGAAGTGCACTGAAGAATAACAGAAGGTCTCTCTGCTCCAGAACACCCATCTTCCTCGGGGTTCTAGCAACAGAGAGTTCCATGACCTACCAAGATCCTCTGTGGAGATAGAGATATGCTGTAGGACAGTTTGGTCTGTATCAACTGTATCTTAGCAAATATTGTTTTTGATTTGACCACTACTTAGCTGAGAACAGTCTCAACTTTTATTGCACACAATGGAAAGGGAGAAAGAAATGTCCAGCTAAACTGACTTTCAACATTTCTGTTCATTTTTTCCCCTCCTCATCTCTGAAAGATTATTCCAGATGGAGCCTCTGAAACCAATCCTGTCCTTGCAGAGAGTTTAAGAGACTCTGTTAACACAGCTGCTGGTCCCACTCATGACTTCCACGAGGTTTTTTCTAAGTAGGTCCTCATCTTATTTTTTTGAGCCTGCCTCTCTGCTCATATAAAGCTTGGCTTCGTATTCTAGTTCCTCTGAGACCAGGGCTATGCTCTGCTTTTTCCAGTCTTCTCTGCAACTCCAAAGCTGGGGCAACTGGGGACTTCCGTCAGACTTGCAGAAGCCAGAAGGCTTCCCGCCGGTCTCCCCCTGCTGGCTGCAACACTCACCCAACTCCATCGCTGTGTGGTTTCCACCAAATCCAGCCTGTTCAAGTCTTGTTCTCCTCGCACCTGACAACCCCCAAACATCTGCCTCTCACTGCATCCCCCAGAACTTGTCTGGTTTCTGGATCCTGACAATTCTGCATCTGGTCTGAGGGCGCCACTGCCCACTAAACTCTCAGCGCTTGCTTTTACATTTGAATCACCATGGGGAGCTTTCTCGATATGTTAGATTTCAACCAGAGTAGTTAAAGCAAACTCTCTAGAGTGTACTGGCAGTGTCCTGGCATTTTAAACAATTTTCCAGATAAACCTCATGTTTACCCAGGAATGAGAGTCACTACTCTATATTAGTTTCTATCAAATTTCACTGTGCACACATATAACCTGGGGATGGTGTTAAAATGTACTCGCTGATTCAGTAGGTATGGGTGAGGCCTGAGATTTCACATTTCCTACAAGATACCAAGTGATGACTTGGCTTTTTTTTGTTTGTTTGTCTTTGTTTTTTAAAGATTTTATTTATATATTTGAGAGAGAGTGCAGAGACAGCATGAGTGGAGGGAGCAGGGTAGAAGGAGAGGGAGAAGCAGACTCCCCACTGAGCAGGGAGCCCAAAGAGAGGCTCCATCCTAGGGTCTTAGGATCATGACCTGAGCTGAAGGCAGATGCTTAACTGACTGAGCCACCCAGGTGTCTTCCAAGTGATGACTTTGATATTGGTCCATAGACCATTCTTTAAATAGCAAGACTCAAGACCAGCAGTTCTCAAAGTGTGGTTAAGAATCACCTGGGGACTTGTTAGAGATGCAAAATTTCAGGCCTCTCCCCCAAACTACTAAAACAGAAACTAAGAGTGGGATCTAGCAATCTGCATTTTGACAGGTCTTCCAAGTGACTCCAATGTTCACTACAATTTGAGACCACTGGCCGAGATGACAGGACACCAACAGAAATATAATGCAAGCCGCATATTTAATTTAAAATGTCCTAGGTGTCATTTTAAAAAATGAAATCAAACAGGTAAAATTAATTTTAACAAAACAGCTTATTTAACCTACTATGCCTGAAATATTTTAACATATAGTCAACATAAAAATTAATATGATAGTTTATATTCTTTTTTTTCATACTATGTTCAAAATCCAGTGTGCATTTTACAATTATATGACATCTCAGTTTTGACTAACCACATGTTGTGTTCAATAGCCCATGTATCCACCATATTGGACAGCCAAGTAGACTTACAACAGTGATAATAGTATTAATTTTTACTGAGTTCATGCTATGTGTCAGGCATTACTGAATTAAGCATTTTATGTGCATTATTATATAAGCCCTATGGATTGGTGCTGTGGATTGGTATTGCTTCATCTCCACTTTACACAGAGGAGAAGTGATGTTAAAGTCCTATCTGGGGTTTTGCTGAGATAGGAAGCCCACTCCAATACAAGCATTACCCAATTATTTTAAATCATTTTATTTGTAAAAACAAAAATGAAAGGGAGAAAAAATAGAAATAAAATCATTAGTATTGGTACTATTAGTACAGTTGCTAAGACATCAGTTGCTTATAAAAGTCATAGTAGTTGGGTGAGTAGAGAAGTCCATATGTGCTACCCTCTAATTTTTAAAAATATGCGTGAAGTCCAACTTGCACTCTTCTGTGACATCAGATCTGTGGAGAGGTGCTAACGGGCAGGCTGTTTGGATAGTTGGGATCCCTGGGGAACAACGGGAGCTTGGTGAGTCACATGGCTCATCCTAAATGGAAGCAGCTAGCAGGGTCGGAGCCTGTCCCCTCAAGACCATAACAAAAAATGACAATATTTAAACGTGAGGCAACAGGCTTCTCTCAGTGTTGGTGTAGAAAGAGGGCAGTTTGGAATTTAAAGGTAATGGTTGACCTAGTAGTCTTCGTTTTATTAACTTTGACAGTTTCCCAAGGATGACCAGTTTTGACATGTATTCTTCTTTTCATTATAAATGACTATATGGAGGAAAAAGTTAAAACTGTTTAAAAAAAAAGAATTTCTATCTGAGGAAAAAGTTAAAACTGTTAAAAAAAAAGAATTTCTATCTGAGGGAAAAGTTAAAACTGTTAAAAAAAAAAAAAAAGAATTTCTGAGGGTAGAATTTGCCAGAATCACCATCTATCATTTTGACCAAGTAAGTATCCTTTTTCTAAACTGGCAAGCATTTAAGATACACTAAAATGTGACCATTTAAAATAAATGAAAGGAAAAATAGATGATTCTATAGACATTTTTTTCCAAAACTCTGCTATACGCTTTTAAGATAATCTTATTTTAAAATTTTGATTAGATATTTCAAACTTACGTTATAGTTCTTCTTTATTTAAATTTAAGATAGAAATAACTACATTTTAACTTATTCATTTTAGTAAAAGTGGAAGATAGTTGAAGGAGCTCCCTATTTTATCACAACACTTGAAATAGCAGCATGTAACCTTTTTTTTTTAATCTATCACACATTATCCTCCGTATTTTCAATAATCGGTTCCAGTGTCTTTCTTTAATCGCAAAGAAACAATTGGATCTGATCTGAGTCTCTAGTAACCAGCCTTCAGAACATTCATTATAAAATGCATACAGGTGATTTTCACACTGGACGAAGGATCAGAGAATCTTCTCCTGCTTCCTCTTAGCTCTCAGCAGTACCTTCTCTCTACCTAAGCATTTTCTATGTGACTAGAGCAGGGAGATGAAAGAGTTCAGGGATTTCATCGACATGGATTAAAGGCTTTTAAGAAAATACTTAATATGTTTCCTCAGGTAGGAAGTAATGAACTTTCCTTCTAAGGGCTGTTGTAAAAGGCACAGTAAAGCCATAGAAGCCAGAAGTTGATCTGACGACCACCCATAGTATCTTCCTTCAGTCAGAGTAGAAAGAAATCCTGATCTCTAGTTGCTCTGCCTTGAAGAGTCTCCTCCTGTGAAAAAGAGGTTGTAAAAGATTATAACAAATTCTCTTTATTCTTTATTCTCACTGCCTCTGTGTGCTGTAAACCTTCTGAGGCAAGGCCACTGTTTTGCTCGCTACTGTATTCTCAGAATGTGTGGCATATGGGAGGCTCAGATGTACTTGCCACATAAATTGCTGAATGAATGAATGAATGAATGAATGAACAGAACTTCCAGATCTTCATTTATAATTCTAGAGACAAAGTGAAAGCTCAAAATCTGCTAGTCGTTGTTGGTGACCCAATCTGAATAACTTCTTTGGAGGCAGAAGCAGGGGATCCGTGTCTGTCTGCATCATGTCACTGAATGGTCCCCAGTCTCTGCCAACAGATAAGAAATGTCAACAGCTTAAGCCAGTAGCTTTCAAAAATAGCCTAGTCGATGAAACTGGAAATTTAGGTGCGTGCTAGAAATAAACCATTTGTCTTCCCGTCTTAAGGAGGATAGGGTGAGAACAGATACTCCTCAGAGAGACCTAAAATATTTTTTAAGACCCATCTAAGCGAGTAACTATCAGAAGAAACATCTTGCCTCTCAAGGAGGCATAAACAGACCATCCTCTGTTCAACAGGTCAGGTAAGTCATTCTGAAAACTTGAGGATTATGGCAAGGCACTGTGTTGCTTTAAGACTTCAAGATTTTTTTTCCTTTGGTTGTCATTTGCAGTGGTGCTGGCAGTTTTCCTCAAAATTTAAATGAGTGGTTGTACAGTGAACCAAGTTGTTGTGGGTTTCCTGGTGTGTGCCCCCCCCCACCACGTGGGGCAAGGGGGAGGGAGGTGGCCACTCAGGCGCGGCTTTTTCATCCCTTTGCAGACAACTCCGGCTGCTGTGAATGCTGAAAATAGCTCAAATGCTCTCAGAACAGTAGCACCACCCAGCAGCTGGGATTCTTTCCCTCTCTCATTTGCCTTCTCTCTTGCCTTTTTTTTTTTCCCCTTCAGACCCTTGGATTGGACTTAATCTTAAACTTCTGGAGTTCAAGACCTTTTAAAAAGGGCTAAATAAACAATCTCTACATGTAAAAGGCCACTGACTCCTACTTCCTCTGTTTAGAGCAACTGTTGAACCCCGGCTGCCTGTAGGTAAGATTTTTTTTATTCTGGAATTCTCTCATTGGTTTATCATATGTTTATGACGGATGTCTTTTCAATAACTCATTTCTAGTGAACATCAGCGGGGGCTTGCCAGCGATTTCCAGGTAAATACGGTGTTCTGGAATACAGCAGTGGCATCTGGGCATTTTTGTGGCTGTACTTTTAAACTTTGCTCAGAGCTCTGTCATGTTGACCCAACAATACACACTCGCCTGTGACTGAGCCACATCCAAACTCTAATTAACCTGATTGCCGACAGTGAGAGGGGCTTCCAGACATCATAATTTTGTTGTTTAGACTGTTTAGTTATTTTTGACTTTCTAAGGGCACTGAAAAAAAAGGGGGAAAAAAAGAGCACCTGAGCAAAGAAAATGTTAGCAATTGGTCTTTTAGGACAATGAGACAGCTCTATTTTATTTTATTCTTTCGTCTCTGGTTTGTTCCTTGTGAGTGTGGAATTAGAACAGGTTTTTTTTATTTGTGTGTGTCGTTTATTTTATGTTCCTAGCACCATTCAGGTGACTCAGTTTTGCAAATGCCTTACCTAGCCGAAGGTCTCTTGCTGGCAGGTCTGTCTGTAAGGTGACAGTACAATATTTGGGTAAGTTTTCTGCACTTCTCTCCTCCTTCCTTGTGCTCACGCTTGACATTTTGCAAAGTACTTTGATCTGTGGACTTTAACCACAAACACAGCATTTACTTTGATTGTGGGTATTTACTATGTTCAGTAAAAAGTCTTTTGTTGTTGTTTGCTTAATGCTTTGATACCATTTCCTTTCAATAATCCACTGGGCTTCGGGTTTCCTCATTGATGATGTCTTAGGTTTGACTTGTATAGGAACCCCCAACTCAAAGAAAAAGACTTTTTTTTTTTTATGGCCAAGTCTCTCATTGTGTAGACTTTATGACAACTCTCTGCCCTCGCCCTGCACGCAGATGTGTGTGAAAGCAGCAAAGGACAGTGCACACAGCCCGAATCTATCAACCCCTCCCTTGAGTGCCCTGTTGCCTCAGAATTACAGGGTGCCTTGGGGCCTAATGTTGCTTTTTTAACATGGACACTAACATCCTTGGAATTTAAAGATTCTTGTCTCCAAAGAAGTTTATTGGTATTTGGTATTTCAGACCACATGTCAAAAGAAAATACGCATTTTAAACCCACTGTGATCTTCTGGATAACTTTTAAAAATATATATATATATATATATATATATATATATATATATATCAAGAAGAAAAATTAAAAGGAAAGAAAAAAAAGAAAAAAAAACTGCTCAATGAGGGATAAGAAATTTTTATACAAAAGTGCATTTCCTAAAAAATAGGCCAAGTGGAGCACTTTCTTTCCATTCGGTTGACTTTTAAATGCTCTCTTTACTTTAAAGAAAATTCATGTGTTTGTTACACTGATTTGTTATTTTTCAAAGTCCTCTGCTCAAGGCTGAGCTTGGCATCCCCTGGCACACTGGCCCTGCCTGTTGTGTTGCAGGGTAGGAGTAGAATGAGCCTAATCCTGTCAGGAGACTGTTCCAGTCCCAGCCAAGGACTGGAGCTCCTTACAGCTGACACAATCTGCTCTCTGTACTCTGCACCTTGCTAAGAAAAAGGAAGCAAGTGGCCAGTAGGACGAGTTTTCAGGGGGCGGAGCTCTGGAGAACACTGTGGGAGAGGCCCCTCCACATTAGGCATAGATGCAACATAACCTCTAGAATTTGAATTTAGTGGGAAAACCCAGGGGTGTTCAGTCAGCCTCTTCTTTTAATTTCCAAAAGTCGGACGTTGAATTGCTACCTCTTCCTTTCCAAATCTGCATTCTAAGGAGTATAGTCATCATTTCGTTTCTGCGTACAGCCAAAATTTTAAATCTTCTGGTTATTTTGAGCACGTGCTTCACAGCTTCCTGGGGCTTTTGGGGGCCTAGAATTTTCTCCCCCTTATTACTGGAAAGTCTTGATTTGGCATAGCGGAGTGCAAATGAATGCTGAAGCAATACAAGTTTAGTTGCAGAATCCAGTGGTGCCAAGATGAAATGGGTTTGGAAGATGACAGCCCTTCTGTTCTCCAGGAAGCCATCTTTTCTCGGTTTTGTCATTGTAGCGGAGTTGGTTGGTCTGTTTCTTTGTTTCCCTTCACCCTTAATTTTACTCTGAAACTTTGGATTTGTTTGGATGTGAAACTCAAGGTGAGACCCAGCCAAAGCCAACTGAGTTCCACACAGGTTCCACATGAAAGAAGTATTAGGCCCAGCCTTGCTCGAAACTTGGCCCGCGTTGTACCAAAAGTTTCATGAATGTCAGTGAGTCCGGTTTTGAAACATGATCCAAAACCCGGTGACTTCTGGCGACTTTGAAGCTTTCTTGTGTAAGTGCAGAATCTGGCAAACAAGGGCATCTCTTATTTTCATATCTTCTACTGTAACTTCATGTGTCCGCACATTTTTTCCAATAAACTCTTCATTTGTCCTGTGATATTTTAAGGCCAAGTTCAGTCCTAATATGAATTTTTATAGCTGTGGTATTTAAACATTGGCAAATAGAAGTCTGCATTTTGAATTCCAACACAGTCTGAACCACAGTGGTGTGAACATGTTGGTATAATTCAGCTGAAGGAAGGAAGTCCCAGGAGAGTCATGGAATGTCTTTCTTTGCTTAAATATACCTCTGTGCTCGTGAGGAACAAACAGTAACATTTTGTCCAGGTCTATCCGTTTGACAGTATGCCTTTTGTTCCCCCTCCAAAGGTGGTGTCAAATATATTGGTGGAAAAATAATAAACTTCCAGATATTTTTTTTTTCCACCAGCTCAACTGATACACTCCTAGGGAACATTGTAAGCATTGAGAAGTTCAGTACTATTACTTGTAATGTAACATATACTGAGAATAAAGGAGTACTCAGCAGAGTTAATTTCCTTCAGAAAAGGTGGCTGACCTAGAACTGAAGTGTATTAACAGTCAGATGGCACAGGGCTGTGAAGGGTTGTGTGTTTGTGAGTGTGTGTGTGTGTGTGTGTGTGTGTGTGCTGATTGGGGAAATCGGGGATATAGAGGAACAGGGAATTTGTGAGCTTTGTTCAGCAAATGTGTCACATCTAAAACAAAAAATAGTCAAGCTCCTGATCTAAAAATTTTCCTTTCTTTTGATGACCTTACGTATTGGCCAAACATTGAATTTGGGGAGGGGGAGGCATATTATTTTTCTCATTAAAGACACCAAGGATTACATTCTGATCATTAGGATTCCAGAAGTGGTGAATAATCCCTGATAAAGATATGACCGATTAGGAGACCGACGTCATTGTAGATGAACTTGCATGAGCCAGTCTCAGAAAGATGTTCATGCTACTGTGACATTATAGGTGGTTGTCGTAGTTGATGTCTCTTTATTAGTTGGAGGATTTCTGAAGTCATTTGAGGGCTTTTCGTAAAAATAATTGTGTGACCTCCCTAAAGATTTAGTTCAACTAAATTTAGTGAGGTTTATGGTTATTCATTATAAAATGAAATTACCATCAAAAACTTCATTTTGAAAATTTTATAATCTTATCCTTAATATAATAGAGTGTTTTATTAAAGATACAGTTTGCATTTTTATCAGGTGATGTACAAAATGACTGTGATTGATCCCATACTGAATAAGGCATTTGAAAAGCTGACAATAACAAAACTTGGGGGTCATGTCTAGGAGCTGCATTTTAACACTGATTTCACTATTCATAATGTACCATATCTGATTTTGTAATCCCAAAACTAATACAAGAGAACAGAGGAGAGAAAGATGCTCAAATGGGATTGTAAAGGAAATGGGAGAAAACAATTCAGGACCATCCTACTAGAGGGTTCTCCCTAAATACATCATAGTACAAAGAGTTTGATATTTCAAAAACTATCATCCATTAAAAAATAGAAAAAGGGAAAGGGTAAAAATATCAGGCTGAAAATAAACATCAAATTTGTATATATGCAAATGTTTCTTTAAATCATAAAAGGACCTTCTTCCAAGAATGATCTCACTAGGGCCGCCCAGGTGACTCAGTAGGTTGAATTTCTGCCCTTGGCTCAGGTTATGATCTCAGGGTCCTGAAACCGTGCCCCACATCAGGCTCCCTGTTCAGCCAGGAGTCTGCTTCTCCCTCTAACTTCTCCCCACTATGCCCCCACTTGTGCACTCTCTCTCTCAAATAAATAAATAAAATCTTTTAAAAAATGATCTCACTAGTCATTAAAAAGCACAAAAATCAGTCACTTAAAAATCTTCTCTCGTGCTTACTTTATTGTCAGAAAAATGGAGTCCATGTAGTACGTATCCATTCTTTAAGTATAGCCCATATTTATAATATTACATTAGGGTTTTTTTTTTTGTTTTTTTTTTTTAGTGTCAGTGATAGATATCAGTGGTAGATACCATACCAGACCATGATGACACAATAGGGTACCCCTCCCCCACCATAGGCCAAAGAGGGTTATTTACCTTAAGCAGCTAAAACAATCATTTCCAGGAAAGTCATCATTCTCCAACAAAATTTTTATTTATTTGGATATTATAATTTTCTGTGACATAAGAAGTAGGGCTTTAAATCATGCTTTAATAATTATAATACCAAAACACCACAAAGATCTTAAGGCTTTCTCCTACTTATCCAAGATGGACTATCAAGGATGTGTGGCAATTCTTGTAGGTTTAAATCCAGAGGCTGCCATCTGGGAATAGTCAAGTCTCTTTAATACCACTCTTATCCGGAGCTTTATCCTGGGGAATCATGTGGTAGGAGACCTCAGTAACCCTCTAAATCATTCCTGTACGTATTAGGAAGTGCAGCCCCTTTGGGCCACTGGCTAGAGTCAGGATGGAGATGGGAGGAGGAGATCCCTTTCCTCTGTACTTGGGTAGAAGGCCTTTTCTGAGTGTCTTGGTTCTATTTTTCTTTTTTCATGGCTCTTCTTTATTATTTCCCCTTCTCTTTTTCCAGGAGAAACAAAGGTCTTCCCT